AAACAAACATTTGGTTTTCATCCAACTTTGTTTCTCTTCCTCTCTTGCTCTGGTGTGTGAGTCATCTGCTCTTGTGTATTCCCCCTAGTGCTTCCCGCCTAGTCTGCTACTGGCTGGCCTTTCTTTACCATTTAGATATAAGGGCCTGATCTTTATCTACTGAATGAGTAACTGGATATTCTGCATTGTTTAAAAAATGAATTACTTGCTGTCATCTGTGCGGTCCTCCCACGGGTTTTGCTGCTTGTCCTGAAATAAATGGGACTTAAATCCTCCCTAAATTGCTTTCTGATGCCTGGTGTTGATTAATAGATGGCTGGTAGGCCAGTGGTGTTATGGCAGACAATAAATCTGTATGTTTGCTTTTTTAAAAAAACGCAAGCTTCTCCCCTGTGCGCAGGTTGCTCACGTGCTCGTGCTTTCCTGCCGCTTTCCCCAGCCCTCTGCCATGTGTTACCATGTAGGACTGCAGGGTTTAAGGTACCGGTTGGTTTTAACACTTTCTGCAAAACTTAAGCCAAATACCTGACTGAAAACATGAATGATGGATTTGGTACCTTCCTGAAGTGTGTATCAGGCCCTCCCATCATTTACAGTTGGGAAACTCAAGACTCCCTACGTGCCTGTCGCTTTTCAGTGAACCCGTGTTTGGCTGGAGAGGTTTTCCCTGTTCCTGCCCGCTCCCGGGGCCGCTCGTGTTGTCACCACAGCAGGACATCGCGCAGGGCAAGAGCCCCGTGCACAGGGCTCCGGCACGTCAGCACATGCTGTGACTGCGAACTGGGTGCTCACAGGAAGCCTTAGAGATGTCTACCCTAAAATAAAGCATCTTTGTGTGTTTTATGTGACGTATGAGAGGTTTGTTAAGGCAGTGACTGTTAACAGAGCTATTCACTGCAAATGGCATCCCCCAAATGGTTACAAAATTGTTAAGGTTGTGGTTTAAGATGCCTCCTCTTTCCATACACTAAAGATCAATTCTCCCTTGTTGCTTTTCTACAAACTGACTAGTTTCAGCGTCCCCTCGTTTTGTGTGCTTTTTCCTTGCAGATGCTAATTCCACACTCCGGTGCTGACCAGAGTCTGCAGGCTGTCCTTGGTGTAGGGATCTCCTAGTGTTGGCAGTAGCATACTGTGAAACATGTAGCTTGGAGAGTAGCTCCTCCTTGCGCCGCGATTCGCGATGGATTATTTCGTGTGTCACCTTTCCTGATGAGGTGCAGTCTTTCAACATACCGTGATGTCTTCAATTCTTTAAAACAGTAAAAAGTCAAAAAACCCAACTGTAGTAGAAATACTCTTGCCCTAAAAGACTAAAATTGTCTGCTTAAGAAAAGAGGGGAGGGAACCTATAGTTAAAGAATCACTTGGCTTTCCTAGAGTTTAAATATACAAGGTAAAAAGTTATCCTATCCCGTTGATAAATCTTGGCTATTTAAACTGCCAGTTAAAGTGTTTTCTTAAAAATACTATAAAATTATTCTTCCTGCACGGAGATTTTGCACATCAAAGTGCAGAAATGGGTTTGTTAGTAAAACTGCTGGTAAAAAGCATATTAGCAATCACAGATGCCACCTGCCACCAAGGCGCTCGTTTTCTCAGCAGATGCCTCCCCCGCGCATGCCCATGGTGGCGGTGGCCGCATCCCTGCGCCGTGTGGCCAGGGATCCCCTGCGCCAGCCCCGGGCCTGAGGCACAGCCTCGCGCCTGCAGCGCGTGCCCAGCGGGCACATCAGCGGGACCCCGTTCTGCAGGGATGAGCCTTCAATCCCATGCTGATCTCCAGTGATTTGTATCAACTCGGTGGGTTTTGAGTTGGATTTCCAGTTTGCGCACTGGAAATGCAAAGTCATCCACACATAATCCCTGATCTTTGGGCAGACTCGGCCGAGCAGGCTCCTAAAGCCTGTGGGTTTGTGCAGAAAAGCAGGAGGCGATGCCCTGGGCTCAGGGGAACACGCGGCGGAGGAGGCTTCGCAGCAGCGCTGTGGGCTGCAGGTTGCATCTCCAAACTCGCCTGGAGCAACATGAGCACTGAAACCCAGCCATGCAAATCTCCACACTTCTACGAAATATTTCTGCAGTTACATTTATTTCTGCAGTTACATTTCAGGTCTTTTAGCATCATTTAAAAATTATCATAACTCAAAAGAAAAAAAATACTTAAAGCAAATATTTTTGAGCTTCTACAGGAACTGAAAAAGTTCTGAATAATTTTACATCACTTTACATTTAACAGATTTTCCTTTTACCTTCTCTCATCTCTCTCCTTAGTAATTCTTGTGTGGTATAGCAATATTGTAACCCAAAACTGAACTGCCAGGGAGCATTTCTTAAATGCTTGTCTGTAAATTTTCGGTGCTTTTAGGGAGTAAGAAAATAACACCCTCGTTTTCAAGGTTTGCCTCGCTCGGCCCAGTCTTAGTGCCTCAGCCAAAGGAGTTTCCTTCGTGTGCTCCAGGCAGGAAACAGGCCCATTCCTTGAAAATTAGAAAACAAAGACCTTTGCTTGGGCTAGTTTTTCAGAGGTTGCCTTCGGTTTGATGTTCTGCAGAAAGCGTTCGCGTGTTTGCTTCCTTGTGAACCACCACGGAACAGCGTGTGGGAACAGCCGGCAGGGGAGAATCTGGGGACGCAAGGACTACGTATTTTGAGTACCCTTTCCTTGACCAAGCTGTGCTTCAGAGCAGGAGGTGACATTTCCCATTAGGGTAACAGCTTTGTAAGATGGCCAAGGAATAACGATGTACAATGGAAAACTGGTAGAGGAGCCGGGAGGGAGGGAGCGCGGGAGAAGGGCAGAGCTGCTTCCCTGCAGGCTGGGTGTTCGTGGGTGGGTGGGTTGGCTTCGATGGGGAGGAATTACAACAAAAAGCCTCAATCTTTGAGATGGTGCCAGAGCGAGGGCTCAAAGGGCAGTGCTGGGGCAGCATCTGCAACTCAGGCACGGGGCACGATGAAGCATTTTAGTGGTCCAAGTCGCAGAAGTGCAGAGTTTTTGGGGGTGACTGGGCGCATGAGCGAGGAGGGGCAGAGGGGAGTGACGCGGGTGCTCGTGCCCGGGGAAGGGCCCGTTTGCACCAGCCTCTCTGTGTTACCGATGAGCAGCTCTGCTGGTTATAGAGCTAAAAACAGCTGGTGTCAGCCCCAAATCTCATTGCATGCTACTACCTTTTGCTACCATATATATGTGTATGTATAATATTAAATATATATTATTATAATAATTATATGACATATGTTGTGATAAATGGGGCTGAGTCTAGCTGGAGGCCTGTGGCCAGTGGTATCCCACAAGGGTCAGTACTGGGCCCAGTGCTCTTCAACTTGTTCATCAATGACTTGGACGAGGACACAGAGCGCACCCTGACGAGTTTGCAGATGACACCAAGCTGGGAGGAGTGGCCAACACTCCCGAGGGCTGCGCTGCCATTCAGGGGGACCTGGACAGGATGGAGAGTTGGGCAGAGAGGAACCTCATGAGGTTCAA